GCTCAGGCGCCACCTGGTGGCCAACCAGTCTCTGCGCCCTGCTTGGAGTCGGAACCCTGTCCAGGGTCCTCCACATTCTCCAGAGTCGACTCATAGGGCCCCTCGCTGTCGGAGTCTGGTGGCAGCTCCAACGGCTCCTGCTGGGCCACAACACATATGTATCCACCATGCTTTACCCAGTGGGATAAGCAGGAACCAAAAAAAAAGCATTTAAAAATTGAGTAAGCAAAAGAATAAAGACATGGAGGAATAAACAGGAAGGGGAAAAGATTCCTAAACTTATTTGCACCAATACTCACTATGCTAAAGAGACCACTTTCAATCTATCAGCTTGCACTGTCTCATCCATTTGCAGTCACTCAGTCTTTCTGTTCCTGTTGACACGTTCATTTTTCTTTCCTATGTTGTTTTGCAGTTCAGACCTCATTCATTAATTCCATTGTCCAAATCCTCTCCACACATTTATTTTGCAATCGCTAGCTTTGGATTCATTCTGTCTTGTAGTCAGCCTGCATTCCTTCAGCGTACAGCCTATTCTTGTTTTGTGATGTACACACTTCTCGTACAATCAATTTCCACTGCATTCAACTTATTTTTATGCTTCTCCTGAATGGACCAAAGCCATTGAAACAAGTTTTCCTATTATCTGACACAAATGTGTAGTCTTATTTTTAAAATGTGTGTGTCATGATAACTAAGTTGTAATTTTGGAGAATGTATGCTGAAATAGTTAAAAAAACAAAGGAATGTATTAAACACAGGAAACAATATCTATGAAAAACGCTCAGACTAATTCCACTCTAATTCACTGGTATGTAAGAAGGAAGAGAAAACATTCAATTTTTTGCTACTACAGCTTATATCACTGTTTTTCAACGTTAGCATTAGCTCCCCATTCCCCAGACAGCATATAATTCCCAGAATTCCCTCACCAGTATAGCTTCCCATAGCTGACTGGGGAATTCTGGAATTGAAGTCTGCTTGTTTTCAAGCAGCCAAGGTTCAGAGTTATTGGCATATACTGTATCAATAAATAAATCAAACTTCTGAAGCTGGCTTCCTCACCTGGTTTAATTGAAAGAACATCAGCTTGAAAACTTCCTTCTCTTTATAAAGAGAACAGAGTTCTGCCTAGGATTCTAGTAATGGCATCCAACTCTCAGGGCATCCCACTATCCACGGCTTTGTTGAAATATCACCAAATGAATTTGTAATGAACTGAACTGCACAATACCATGATACAACTAACCTGGAATTTAGGATGAGTAGCCTCAGCCAGCCATAGCACAGCAGCTGGCAGCTCAGATAATATTTATGCTTTCTCTTGGGAATTTAAGAGAGATTTGGAGGAGACCAGGATTAGTTCCTGACTTTGAAAAGTTAGTGTGAATTGTTTCTGGTAGATTGACCAGTGGGATTTGAGTTTGCCAAAAGAAGGGGTTGCCAAAATGCAGTAGTCATATTGAAGCCCATAACCCAATACTGAGCAATTACAAGAATTATAAAGTCAACTTATAGCATGGGCCCAGCCCTTGTTCTTCTGAGGAACTTTTTCTGAATGCTGTTCAGGTTCAGTGAACAGACATCAGCTTTGGAGTACTTTATCAGGGCGTGTATCTTTTACTGAATGACGAATTAAGAATGATTGGTTGGTTATGTCTGTAGCTCTATTTCATGATGAGAGCAATCTTCTTTAATGTTCATTTTCTTTTCTTCTTTTTTCAGGCTTTCCTACCACCAGCGAATAATAGATATTGTTCCTGCTAGTTTTTCAGTCTTGACTCCTGCAAATCCAATCTGTATTTATAAATATGGAGAAGAAAGTAACAGTATGTTGAGAGTATATAATTTACATTGTAAAATATAAAAGAAGCATTTGCTGCTATTGGTGGGAAATGGTGTGTGTGGGGGGGGAGGCAATAATAAATCCCTTTAAAGAAAACTGCTATAAACTTGTGTGGTTTTGAGAAATATGGTGTCACCCAAGGACCATTCAAAGCCCTAATGGGCAAGATGACACATTGCTTCAAGATGTGGCCTCTTATCTTCTGAACCATTCCTCAAATATGTAAAACCTTCTACTATGTTGCATGCAATCTTTTATATAACAGTGTCTTCAAAGATGGTAACTGTGCTTCTTCCTATCTTTCTAGAATCTCTTCCTGGATACAACGTTGCACTCTGCTTAAACATTGCCATCAAAAATAAAGTGAGTAATGATGAAATTTTCACCATTCTGAAGGATGTGCCCAATCCTAATCAGGATAATGATGGTAAGCCCATCTAATATTTACTGTGTCCCCATTCCTAATTTTCATTTATGGAAAAATTGCAAAACATCAGAGAAATTAGTTATGTTTAAGCATATCTGGTACATGGTTTTGATTATTATGCACACACATGGAATATGTACTAGCTCAGTGGAATCCCTGATTTTTGGCATCTAACTCTATCCCATATATGCCAATAAGCAAATATTCTTTTAGTTTAAAAATAGTATATAGTATGCCTAAATTGTAAGCATATGTGAGATGGTTTTAATATTGTTAATATCAAATTTAGTTCAAACATCATACTTATAGACAGAATTTCTGTAAGATGCTTTATTACTGGTTATTATTCCAGACTTAAAGCCTCTATATAATTATATATAATGTTTGGAGTAAAATGTAATATGAATATTATTTTATTAGTATTATATCAATATATTATATTAAAATAATAATAATTGCTATTATTCCATACTTAATTGCTAAAATGGGGGATATAATGGCTCAGCAGTTAAAGACTCTGAGCTTGTCAGCTGGAGAGCTGACAGCCTGGGTTTGACACCCAAGCTCCGCACAATGGCTGAGCTCCTGTTACTTGTCCCAGCTTCTGTCTACCTAAGAGTTCGAAAGCATGCAAATGTGAGTAGATAAATGTAGATACCACTTCGGTGGGAAAGTAGCAGCATTCTGTGCGCCTTTGGCATATAACTATGTAGGCCATGTGACCGTGGAAAATGTCTTGTGACAACACTGGCTACCTCGCCTAGAAAGGGAGATGAGCACCGTGCCCTAGAGTGGAACAAGACTTATAGGGAAACCTTTACCTTTTTTTAAAATTGCTAAAATGAGTAATTCTTTTTTAAAAGACTGCTGGAAAATAATGAACAGATTGGATCACTTTTTAATGTCTTTGAAAAATTTTAAAACATAACAATCCTGGGAAATGGTTTATAATAGAACGGAACATCTTTTGAAAGTCATAATTTGACTTAATTTTAAATTGGACTAAACTATACATCTTTTTTAAAAAAACGTTGAATCAGCAATGAGTATATGAACAGCTGAATGGGTCTGATACGTTTTTATTGGAAAAGATCAGAAGTGCCGCTAAATAAGTTATGAGGGTATCCTTGATGTCCAGAATAATCTCATATTTGAAAAGTAAATCTTAGGTAGAATTGATGTAGAATTTAATTATAGTTGGGAACCATTCTTGGATTATAGTTTTATACATGAATTTGTTCCACATCCAAACTTTTCATATGCATAGAATTTATATCTTACTCTGATTTTTTGTTATGGGGCGTCAGGTCAGCGTGGCCTTAATGACCACATACTATAGAGAGATTTTATTCAGGATGATCTGTCCCTATGAGTGTTCAAATGGTGCATCTATCACGATTATAATTGTGTCCATCCATGTTATTTCTGTCCATTTCTTTCCTTCCATCTTTCCTTAGCCTTAGAGTCTTAACTAGAAGACTAGGTCTTTGCATAATGGATCCAAAGTATGGATATGATCTTTAATCAGTATTGATTAATGTGCTTATTGTTTCATCATTTCTTAGTACTGTGCTAACCAAACATTTTCAGCTTAAAACTTAATAGGGAATATTTGGATTTTGTTTAGAAAATGGATATGATAAGAAAATTCATGAAATTTCTTCGCCACTTTACTTTTTTTTCCAGAAAAGTCAAGTAAAAATTCTCAAGTCTTTCTCGGCGTTCAATAAGTGCCCATATTGCTTATAGGAATTCAAACTTATTTGTAACTTTGTTTTCCAGATGAAGGCTTCTCATTCAATCCTTTAAAAATAGAAGTTTTTGTCCAGGCACTATTACACTTAGCCTCAAAGTCATTCAGTCACTCTTTCAGTGCTCTGGGAAAGTAAGTATTTATCATTAAGCATATTAATCTATTAATGCATTCATATTGTTGCCATTTTATTTTTATTTCTTTTGTAATGTTAACAAAAAAGAGGCCAGAAGCAAATATGATTTTTATTTAATTACTGTGTTTTTAAAATTAGCTATATTGTCTACTTCTCTTTAAATGTCTATGAAGATTCTCAGTCATCCAGATCATGGTTGTCCCAAAGGTGTTTTTTCAAAAGGCAAGTGGACTTTCTTCATTTTTTCCCCCTGAAGACGTTTTGCTTTTCATCCAAGAAACTTCTTCAGTTCTGACTGGTTCAAAGCTGAAGACGTTTCTTGGATGAGAAGCGAAATGTTTTCAAGGAAAAACAAAGGAAGTTCAGTTGCCTTTTGAAAAAGCACCTTTGGGGCTACTTCTCTTTAACTTGCAATTTTAAATGGGCAGATTCCTGTATAATCTCTGGTCCTTGGGTACTTCTGCCTAGTTTTGCATGTCAGGAGCTTCCTCCTAAACTTCAGCATCAACAGAAAGTTCATCAGTCCTTTCTCACCTCCTTGTGATCTGCAGCACAACATTGTCCCCGTATACTTTTAAGTCTCAAGACACAGCCTAACAAGAATGACCAATGGCAGTCCAGGGGAAATCCAAAACTTTACAGCTGGAGAAGAAGAACCCTTTGTGCATTAGATTTTTGCAGTGGCCTAGTGAACCTGGATATTGGCAAAATCAAAAACAACCTCGCTGAAGAAAAAGCCAATGACCGGTCCAATTGTACAAGGAGAGAATGTCAGCCCCATGTAAACCAGGCCAACAAATCAACTCAACCAGAAGACCAAACTACTTTTGTTAAGGTATGTTATAGTAACAGAACCTTGGAAGTCTGATTGTGCTTTACCTCCTCTGCCTCTTAGCCTCCTGTGACTGAGGGAGGTGTCTCAAGACTTGACTGTGTCTAGCTCTCTTTAGGATAAAGGCAGGCAGGGAGGGAAGACACATTCAGAGGTGCAAGATCCTGTTACTTTAACCCTATAACAAAAGTCGTATTAACATTCATGACTGCATTCAAATCATAGCTACCTCAAAGGGCTGGGACAAACCTTTTGTGAGACTTGGGCTTAAGCCTCATTGCTTTGGAAACAAATTTCTCTTATCTCTAACTCAGCTACAGTGAGGGAGAGAGAGAGAGGTTTAACAGTGGAATTGATTTTGCTGACTAGGTGGATTCCATAAAACACTTATCCCCACTAAATGTGTAGCTAGTCACAGTAGCAGGAAGAACGGCTGGGTTGATACTGCTCGTTTCTCAGTCTAAAAATCCAGAGTTCGTCATGATCTTGGGAGACTAGACCAGTCTATTTCTCTTTCGCTCACTTTTTGCCATTTCAATCCATGTTGCATTACAAGGTTACGTAAGAACTGATCTGTAAGAATGAATGACATGTATTCCTTAATATTCTTGGGTTATTCATTTCTGTTCTAATAAGATTTCGAGAAATCCTCAAAACTTTGGCTGAAAGTGATGAAGGGAAGCTTCATATTCTCAGAGTTATGTATGAAGTATGGAAAAATCATCCTCAGGTAAAAATGAATATGAGTCCCTTCCTTCCTTCCTTCCCTCCCTCCCTCCCTCCCT